TGATGCGGTTTAAACCTGCACCAGCGTCATCTTCCTACCAACATAGGGTGAACACGGGTTGCAGACTAGTTTCTTTTCGTGAAAGGGCAACAAATAGGCTTTATTTGGATGATTCAGGCTAATCCTGAGACCCCAATCATTGGCGAGTTTTTTTAAAAGCTCTATGAAACCAGCTGACAGCATGGTCTGTGGATCCACACCTTGAATTCAAATGTGTTTTGGATGATGGAATTGCAAATCGGATAGTACAGGTGTAACTGCACCCAAAACACTTTGTGATCCGATCGGTGGTCGGGGTGTATTGTGACCACACTGGACCTGAGTGTAAATGCAATTGCGTTTTATGTGGGCAGAAATATGTCATCCCACACAAACAAGAGGAGGATGTGACGTTTGGTTGTTGGAGCTGGACAGAGTGATCGGATCACAATGTGGACACTGGAGACCACACACTAATACCAGGTGTAAACGTATACTCAAGTTAAATATCTACCTACAACCTGGATATGAGACACATTTCAATGCAAGGTGTAAAGGGGGTCATCGAGTAACTGGGAAGCAGTTTCTAGAAAGATACGCTGCTGCTGAATATTTAAGTTTTCAATGCGGTGAGGACCACAACAACATTCTGTTCCCCTCCATTGTAAATCCTGGGTAAATAAAACCTAAACTACCTGCTTGGGCCGACACCAGGTAAGAAAGAAATCATTTCCTAACTTTTCTTTCTTAACTTTAATTTCTAAAATGTTGTAAGTATGATGCTCTACGCACTCCTGAGCCTTTTGCACATGTATGCTTGTTACAGCTTAGTTAAGTTTAGTAAAAGATCTTGGTTCCCTAGAAGTTAAGTACGCTACGTAACTTAACTCAAAATAAATGTTGACTTTTTGGTTTCACACGGGACATCAACACCAGTCTTATTATTATGAATAATAATAATAATAACAATAACAATATTAGCGGTTATTATTCATAACATTATAATTGTTATTCAGTATTATTATTTATATTAATACAATTATTATGAATGTTAATAATAATAATTAATATTATTATTGTTATTAAGTATTATTATTACTATTCTTATGTCAATTAACAGTTTAAAAAAAAACAGGAACATTTTCCTTGGGGGCAGTCACTTTACAGTCCTATCCATTTTTGGGGGTGGGGGTTAAGGTTTTGTCATGTGCGGGTAAATGATGTCATGCCAGTCTATTGATCCGTCCGTCTGAGTCCCCCTCCCTCCTGCTTCCTCCTCCTCCCCCTCTTGTGCCGTTTGTCCGTCGGGTGCTTGTCCAGGTCCCTCGGGGCTAATCTGCTGGTGTACCAGATGCATGCGCTCATTAACCTGGTGCCACCTTCTAAGAGCCTCATTGACTGTGAACACAGTCTCTCACACACATACACACACACAATCTCGTGCATATATAGCAGTGACAGTCAAACACACAGACGCACGCTCCCTCGGAGACACAAACCGTTGTTATTATTAGCAGACTGGTTGTTCAGGTGCAGGATTCTTGGCAGGATATAGATTAGAAAAAGAGTGAAGGACTGAAGGAAAGGCATTAAGAGAAGGACAATATGCCAGCAGGCAGATGGAGAGGAGAGGGTGTGTCTCTACGTGGGTTTAAACAGAAACCTTGCTCATGCAGTTTGTTTATTGTCCTCTTCCCTTTCTTCTCTTCCCAAAAGGAGATTCAAAAGGATGCAAAAAGGGAGATGGGCCCTCACCTTCACTGCCTCCTCCCCCCCACATCCATCCTTCACACCTCTCCCTCTCCAAGGATAAAAGCCTCCTGTTTCCATGGAAAAAGACTTCACACAAAAAGGGAGAAAGGGGGGAAAAAAAGGTCCAGCTTTTTGAGTTTTTCTTACAAACGGCAGCTGTCCCTCACATCGCCACCCCCATTCACGCCCTCAGAGCCGTTGCCGTATCCAAATCTACCGCAAAATACCACATGGGACCCCACCACACACACTATCCTCCCCACCCCACAAACCCCCTGCCCACCTGGGTGTCTGAGTAGCGGGCTGTGTGGAATAAATGAGCTCATTCATGCAGTGTGGAGCAGCCCAACGTAAACACGCCTAAGGTAGCTAGTTATAGGCCACAGGAGGAACGAGTGTGCTTGGATCAGAACCATCGCCTAACTGCTGTTCCCATAGGGTCCACGGTATTTGAAAAGTCCCATTGTATAGATGCTTGATTTGAGCGTTTCATTTGATAGCACATGAAAACAACTCGCACCTACCGGTGCCTGAGATTTAAACTTGGGAGTCTAGCCGTTGGATTCTCTTATGGCCAGAAAGGTTCAGTCTGTCCGACAAGAGGAGAAGCAATTCAGAGAGATGCAGTTTAAAAAGTACACTGCGGGGCATTATGCAGCACTAAATCCTAAAGGAACTTATCATTAATCATTGACTTTAGTTTAAGTATTCATTTAACTTTTACAGGATAAGTTTTATTTTTACCATAGGTCCTGTGACATGAAAGTATGACTTGAATGAATGTGCTACCTAGTGGGGCTCAAATAATTAGTCAATCAATCAATTAGCCGACTGACAGAAAATGAATCGTCAACTATTATGACAATCAATTATTGTTGAATTCACTTTTCAAGCACAAAAGGCCAGACATCTAATGATTTTAGCTTTGCTTCACAAATGTGAGAATTTGCCATCTCTGGGCTTTGTTATTCAGACAAAAAAGAAGACAGTCATCCCCCCAGGCTCTGATTTTTCATTATTTTCTTACCTTTAATGAACTTATCTCGAGGAAATGATCAGCTAATTAATTGATAATGAAAGTAATTCACACTGTGTGTTCACTTAACTGATGAAATTAAGATGCTTTCAACCCCGCCTCCCAACCAATCGGACTCTGCTCGTCACGTGAGCGCCGCTTCACTCTGGATTTGGCTGTTAGAGAACTTTTAAACTTTTAGGACCAAATGATTTAAATAACGGCTACTTAAGTGTGAAAAACTGTGTTTGGGGTCCAATAGCATCACGGACACCGATGTTGTCATTACACGGTTTGGACACTACGTAACATTGGCTTCAAAGTCAGTTTAAATTAAAAAAAACGTTGAATAAAATAATTACAAATAATGGCAAATGATGTCACGGTAAAGTTAAGAGGAGAAGAGCATTCAAATGTATTTTAGAAAACATGTTTAACAATAAAATATTTACTTTTTGTAATTAGTAAATTGTTGATTTACAACAATTTTCAGTAGGACAGACCGGTAACGTCGTGATCGCTACAGTCATGTGACGCAGAGAAGACGTATTGCCTGACTTTCCTGTAGTGTGAGCAGTCTACTGGTAATGGCATACTTAATAATTAATTTAGTAGGCGGTATGCAGTACATACAGACTGAGTATGTATATGCAGTACTTTAGTATGCGAATTACAACACAGTCTCTCTCTTTCCCTCCCGTGTCAGTGCGTTCTGCACCATGAGACTATCCTTGTATCTGTGAATGGACAGGCACAGACTTTATAATGAGGAACTCTGTCAGCACTAAAGCCTCAGAGACTTGTATTGCAAAGTGTAAGTTAAGCAAGTTAGTGAAACACAGGAGCGATACAGCTCCTCTATATCAACTATTTAATGACTGCTGTATTAAACACATAAAAGATGATAACTCTGCATGAAACTGAACTTCAGTAGTCTGTCTTATTCATCATTCTCCAGCCCACAAATAAATCATAAACCTTTTGCAATTAGATACAAATAGATTTTAAAGCTTTTACATCTAATATTAACTCCCATAGACTCTAAATGACAGTTTTACAATCAAAATGTTCCTATTGAGCTCATGCATCTATTTCCATCTGTTTTTAAATCACTGTCTGAGCTCCAATAAGCCAGTAGGAGAAAAGCACACAGAGGATGAGACGTGTTTACCAAGCTGCTGCTGCTGCAACATGTATTAGGCAGATGGGTGTGGTTCCTTTTTTAACAGCTTTTTATTATTAAACACAACAATGGCGCTCACATACTTGAAAACCACTCTGTGAAAAGGCCAAAGCACATATAGGGCTGAAGTGGAAATATATATATTGTGTAACAGTAAATGCCTTTGTGCAAACCGTTTTCAAACCCCGGCAAAGGTCATATGATTAAATTAGTTGGTTTTAATAATACATTATTGCTCCAAGTATTGCAGATGTTGCGGGACTCTTATTTTACAATGTCTTTTATCCACTCCACTCATTTAAAACCAAAGTGGAAAAAGGCAAGCTTATCTCCCATGCAACAACAACAGCAAGACAAATGGAGAGACCGATTTAAGAATATAATCGTCATTCACACCACACAGCCGGCAGCGCTTTATTCTCTGAGCTAATCAGCAATTTCACAAAACCATTCTTTGTGGTGACCTTTGCTTTGGCTCTTTAGTTTCAGCTGTAATTAATTAGCTGTGGCTGTTTATTTCTTTGTCTTGAAGTAGTACACACCCAAATACAAAAAATTACTGCATGTGCACTGAACATTTCACAATACTCGTACTTGCTTGTCTATCATCCTATAAGATTTATCTACACTCATATATAGATAATAGAGGAGCTCAAGGTCAATTAATACAAGCTGAGCACATTACAACCCACTCTACTCATACAAGAACTGCTGTAAATAGTCCAGGGACTTGAGCCTGAGTCTAAAATCTTTGATCTCAATAGCAACTGCCAAACAGAAGAAAACCTAAACAGTCAGAACTTGTGCCGCCACAATCAAAGAGACTAAAATAACCAGTGGGAACCAAAAACTACCGCCGACACTGCTTGTAGGAAATCTGGAACAACTAAAAACCAATAAAACAGCATGTAAAGTTCAAATGAGAAGGCAAGCGGAACACCGCCATTGTGTATTTCCCATAAAAAAAAAATAACACTCGACACCGTTTCCTAAATCCTTAACACCTCACAGCTAATTTTAACGTCACCCCATTACTGCCCTCCCCCACTGGCCAGGTGACCCCCGTCTTACCTCTCATATTCCAGGTTGTCATGGTCACAGCGGGCGTCTTTGTGCTTCTCCCAGTCCTTCCCGTGGCGGCACGTCGTCAACGACACGATGTCCTTTCCATTGTGGATGTGATGAAGAGCGTTTCTGGTGTCTGAGCCGATGCCCGTGAGATAACGCTTCCCCTTGAACATCAGCAGGTACTTCCTTCGCGGCGGTATGGTGTTCCTCACCAGCCAGCCCCGCTCTCCGCCCTTCTGCGGGTGATCCTTTGAGAACAGCGGGATGGAGACGTCAAAGCCGGGCCGGAAATGTTCTGTGTTGAGGCTGGCCTTGGCCAAGATGGCCTGGCCGATGTTGAAGCCCAGGTCCTCTGTGTAGTTCGGCCAGGTGCCCGAGTACAGGTTGAAGATCAGGTGGTTCCGCCCGTCATTCCACAGCGGGTAACCCCGGATGCGTTCATCTACGTTGGGCACAAACTGTCCTGACAGCTGGTCCCGATCTAAGGTGTCTATCCCGAGCACGAACAGGCATGCCTCACGGGGGTCTGATGTGTAGTACCGGGACTCGGCGATGGACGTCAGGATCTTCCTGTAGCTTTCGGACACACGGTCATTTTTCTCTGACGGATATATATACACCCTGAACCCTTCCCTTCCTCTGCGGCGACACCGCGAGAAGTCAAAGCAGGTCTCCATGCGGCAGCGACTGTCCTTATAAATGGCGGACCACGCCTGGCGACGCTGGCGGGGCGACTCGGCAGTCCCGGGGTCCGTCTGGAGCTCACCCAGGTGGGCATAGCGGGGCAGGAAGGCCCTGTCGGTCCAATTGGGCCAGGGACGCACCACTTCACCCCGCTGGCGTGTCAGCAGCCGGAGCAGCCGGAGCTGGACTCCTCCACCCCAGTAAAAGAAGACTAGCCAGCAGCATGCACACAAGCCCAGCAGACCATACTTCTTACGCGCCTGCATGGGGGCCTGTCACAGTCTCTTTTTTTCCGCTCTGACACTCTCTCTCTCGTCCTCTGTTCTCCCTCTCCTCTGCCCCTCAGCTCTGTGGCCTCACAGGGGCGGGGGGGGTCTGTGACTTGTGACTTCTAACAAGGAGGTTCTTTTGAAGGACAATGCGTTAACAAGGACATCACTGCCTCTGAGGGTGGCCCGGTCCACTTACTTGCCATTTATGGTGACGCAATCTGAGTTACTGACTCCTCTTGCTCAGCCTCTTTCTGCCTTCCCCATTTAGTCTCAGATGTGCGTATTAGCCCGCGTCTGCTGTGGCGTGCGCTGCTTCTGCGTGCATTTCCTCCGCTGGCCGGCCTGGTTGGGAGTGATGAGGGGTGATTTCTCCGCTCTCTCGGGCCAAGCTTGCTGCCTCATGGTGCCTGGCGCGACCGCCGTCTGCAGGGCCCCTCCTAGGGGAAAAGTAAACAAACAAGAATGCAGATCAGTACACAGAGTTGTTGCTGCTCCTCGACCAACACGGAGACACCCTCCGGGGTTAGTCGTGAAACGGCCGTCTCAAGAGGTGCCATAACTAACAGTTTAGATTGTCCCGACAGGTATGAGCTTTCATTTCTGGACGGACATGTAATCTGCAGCCCCAATCACATTTCACACACACATTAAACCAAATAGCAATAAAGTAGCACCACTGGGCAATGTTTCACAGGCAGCAGAGGATTTTAAACTGTCAAAATCCCCTCTTCAGCCGGAGCTCATAAAGAGAGAAGTACAACCCAGTGCAAAGGCATCCATCCCCGACTAGCCACACAACAAAACCATCTCTTCAAGAAGTCCACCATCTCTCTATCTCCGTCCCTGTCTGGCCTCCACATTCCTGTGAAAAAGATGGATGTTTACAGGCTCATAAGTGCCAAGATGCGTGCTGCTGACTTCAGGAGTTGTCTTAGATGGGACTAGATATTATCGTGCTCTTCAAGCTCCAGTTCAACTGAGCCAGATACAGTTGAGGTGAAGTGAAGGAGAAAAGAAGAGTGTGTTTAGCATCTGAAATGGAGATTTGGAAGCGCAGAAGGAAAACAGAGCAACTTTATGGCTCTGGAACGGCCGTTCACCTTGGTGAGAGCGAGTGAAGGCTTTTTTTGTTACATATGCAAACGTTTTTTTTTTGTGTGTCGTATTTTTACTAAACATCCCCCCATAGCTCCACAACATGTACAGTATACCGGTGTGTGTGTGTGTGGGGGGGACGCCTCACAGTGAAGGGCAGTGTTCGTACTGCCAGCTGCGACACAAAGGCAGCTTTCAGGTCTCACCTGCCGCTCTCTCCCTCTACCTCTCATTCACATTCTCCGTGTCCGCTCCAGCCAAGCTGAAGTGATGCCTGCCTTCTCTGCTTGCAATAAAACAAACAGAACGCTGGTGATGTGGGCAAAACCACAACCCCCCTCAAAAAGGGTAGAGGAAATCAGGATGCATGTGTGAAGATAGCTGCTTTAGTATATACATATACACACACTGTATGATGTGGAGTTAAAACCTCAGCTTTGTAAGCTTGACCACAGTTTATCTACTGTAACTGGTTTTTAAACCGGATCCGTTAACTTAAAAAGACCTACAATCATCTCAATCCCAAAATTGGAATGGAATCCTACAACTTAAGATAAGCCCTTTTACTTGACTGTATAGGTTGACTGTAGAAGAAGCATAAGGGTATTTGAGGACCCTTAGACACATGCACTGCAACCCTGAATTTATCCAGAGGAGCTGTATGTGCGATCACAAATGTCACATGTCGGACCAGATACTAAGTGGACTGTACCTCGTCAGCTCCCTCGTACAAAGTCCCTGTAACGTCGGTTTGAGAACCATGTCTGAATGGAGTCGGTCATCGTCTGGAGAATTCGCAGCGAGCGGGTGGGCGTGATGACTGAGAGTGAAAAAGAAGGGTAATTTACAAGAAGACGCCAACCAAAATGTCCAACTGAGGGGCCGACGAGATCCGTGGACTTCTGACGGTAAGGGGCGACGCCAAAATCGTCATACAAGTTCAAAGGAGGACAAGAGACTCTGTTGTTTATGACCCGATTACAAACCGGCCCTCCGTGACTGCCGTGTTTTCGCGTCATGCCCTGCCGCCTAAACCAAACGGAGCATTACCAGTAGGTGAGAACGCCTCTTGACAATCTCCTGTTGTGTGCCGAGTGTGCGGACCCGATACTCCAGACATTGTCCAGAGTTCGAATGAGAAAAGGGCTCGAGCCTTTCTTACTGTGCCAGTGTGTGAACACCACAGCCGGTGGCCAAACTGCACCGAATAATTCAGGTGAGCTACTCCGCCGGTTGAGGTGTCCGCGGTTGGTTTTTGGCACCTTCGTTGTTCTACTTCTCTGGCCGCGACTATAGCAACCTGAGCAGCAAGCAGTCCGAGTTAGGGAGTAATAGACACTTGGGATCCCGTTACATACTCCTCATCAATAATTCACTTGCTCCTTTGGTTAAGGCATTGATTTTCCTCTCTTTATTTTTTATACACCCTGCCACCAACGCACACAATTAGACCTCAATCTTCTTCAGGATATACGCTCCGGTGAGAGATGGGTACGAGCTCAGTCCCGATGATTTGTGGTTGTGGGGATAATTGATGATGATGATGGCATGAAGGTGTAATAGAAAAGTGATGGAGGGTATATCATTATCATTGTGGTAATGATGATGGGCGTGAAGAATTTATTCCGTTGCCTTATCTAATCAAATGCCAGTGAACGCCATTGCTTTTGTTCGTCTACCTGCAGTTGTCTACTAAAAGAAATTTACATTGATTTAAGGGCACTGAGGTCACTCCATTACAGTTGGATCAACAATAGGGGTTTCCATTTCCACGCTTTAACTGCCATTTCGCAATAAGACACAATTAATATATTTCTTTAAACCTTCACTTGTTGCCCTTTATTCGATTTAACTTATCAAACACTAGCAGCTCAAATTTAAATTGATTTGAAAATGACAATACGAGGAGACATTTCTCAGGCAATGAGGTATTCCAGGTTTCGACGAGGATGGAGGATAAGAAGTGAATTGAACATAATCATTGACGATAATATAACAGGATATTGGGGGCATGAAACTACTCATTTTTAGAAGACATTTGTTGTTCAATAATTTCCTCATATTACTGCCTGACTGCTCCAGGTGTGAGAAAGCCTCTGTGCACAACACCGGTATATTGATCCCTACCATCCTACTTCTGTGCGCCAGGACAAACTGTACATTGGCAGTTTGTGGCCATTAACAAGGAACAATAATGATGAATGTAAGCCAGTGGAACTCCAGGGCATGCCCGGACCCGTCAATATCCTGAGAGCTGCAAACCAGCGAGGAGACACACACGTACTGGATGCAGACACACACACACACACACACACACAGGTAAGTGGCTTTAAGTGGTGAGAGAAGTCCCTCTGTCACAGATCAATGAAGGATCATTACGGTTGGGTGACTAGCACTGGAAAGAAATCACAAGGCTCATTGAATAGAGGGGCCTGAAGGTGGAGAGACAGAGTTCAAGGAAAGGTGAGGGCAGCATTCAGAGCTCTGCCATCCCCCCCCCCCCTTGTCATTTGTTTCCCCATATAAATCATCTCCACTCGAGTCCTACACTTCATTCCTTTCTTAGAGTTCCTCCCCTCACCTCCTTTTCCTCTTCTACTGAACCGAAGCTAACCGAAGGTTTTCCCGTAGAAACAATAACATTTTTGACACGGTCTTCCTTTTTTCAATTATTCCTGCTTCATCCTCAAAAGAGGGCTGGGGGAGGTGGGCACACAGCACTTTAATCACAGACACGAGGAACACACTCAGCAAGGCCAACAATTCTTTGATCATACTTTCGCCTTGAGTGCAAAGGAAACTACCAGGAAGGTTCACTTAGAGAGCGAGCAATGAAATTGTGTCAACACTGCAAAAGAAGAAAAGAAAAAATAATGTAATGATGCACGCAGCATTAAATTCAGCTAATAAAAAGTGGCAGGTGGATCGTGTACCAAACGAAAAAAGTACCTTTCAAGTTGTTTGCTCACCTTACCGTACCTCTTTAAAATGCTACAGTTTTGAGGAACTCTCCCACTGAACATGCCCTGATTTAAAGTGATAATCTTAAAGAATTTCATGAACTCAAACCCCGTTTTCTTTACCATTTAAGGTCGGTACTATTTCAGCAATAGTCGGCATGCCCGCCTCCACATTCTCAGCAGCGTAACCAACTTTACCGTACCTTGCTGTTGTGTGGAAATCTACTCACACCGTGTGCAGCATGAAATCAGATCGCAGTTACAACCATTATTGACCGACTTTATTAAAATAACATGAGTTTGTTAGGCTGGCCTGTAAGCAGATACTCAAGTTTGGATTTCTGGAAAAGTAGCTGCTCAACGAGTAGTCGCTGCCGTATTAAATTGCACTTGCTGATACCACAAGTAACCACGGGCGTTGTGAAGTCAAACAGGACTGACATGATACATTACAACTTTAAAAAGGGCCGGACTTCCTGTTGAATATAGTCCGATCTGGAGGACATGGAAGGTCCATACTTAAAAGCACAGGAAAGGAACAAGTGGAGGGGGATAAAAGGTGAGGATGAAGGACATTGAAGCGGGGTGGAGGGAGAGAATGACGAGACGTAATGATCGATATTTCATGGATGACAGCTGGACCACTCCCTTTACTTCCTGCCCTCGATCTCTTCCCGTCTGAGGGCCGTAAGGGCGTGCCTCAACAGTTTCTACCTGCTCTGAGATTTCAACAGAACTACACTATTAACTTGGGGTAAACGAAATTGAAAATATGCCGTCTCACCTGTCTCCCTTGAATTGTGTTTACGCAACTGTGGTTATGCAGGCTTTGACAGTAAATGAAAACTGGCGTTCTCTGAAATGGGTGTCACCGATGACGGCCCTCTGCAGGAAATTCAGCATTTGTCAATTTGTGTTTTTCTTCCACCAAATTGCATATTTTTTTATGAAGAGATTTCTGCCTTTCGGGAACAGATTGGCTTTTTTCCCCCTCGTTTGCTGTTTTCTGGCTACAGCGCCGGTGCTGAGCACTTCTGACATTGTAAACGCCCAAAATCAAATCCAGTGCCATTACAGTCATTCTCCGGGTAGCGGAGTCATTGTCACTGTATGAGCCGTAGCAGCAGCAGCATTATTATGTCTGCTTGATTTGATGATTTGGGCAGAGACATAGCAGGTGTTAAATCGATACTGGACGGGCCAAATGCCTGGTAAAATTATATTTCCATTCCTTCCCAAATGATATGGTTAGCTTATGAAGACCGTTCACCTGAATGATGGACGCCTAGCATATGCTGACAAAAATCCTGGGTGAGTGCACTGTATAAATAGCGGTTTTCGGCGGCAGCAGGCCTTTCAGCGCGTGCCTGAACTATACTTACACACACATCTGGCATGAGTGTTTTTGCTATCCTAAAGCTGCCGACATATTAGTTCAGCAAAATGAAGTGTTCTGGAGAAAACACAAATCTTGCGGTGAGGCGAACGGCTCGGTGGAGCTAAAATTAAAAGCCCGGACTCTGTCATTACGGGCCTGAGGGATGTGACATCGTGACCAGAAGATAGCCGCACTGCATTCTCTGTGTTATTGCAGTGGTTCTACGTCTTTTTTTCCGCTTGTGACCCTTTAAAATTGAAGCTCTGTCTAGTTGTGACCCCTCAGTACAGGTTGAATATGTCACAGAATGGAGGCAAGTTTGAACAGAGTCAAGTGCAGTATAATACACTTGCTCTGATATCTAGTATATGGAAATAGTATCGGAAATGGGGTATGATTTCATGAATATCTCATGGATAACAACTTTAAAATAGCCGACATCACAAGGGAAAAGCAAATATCAGGAAAACATAAACCTAACTTCTCCCGACCCCTCTGCGGGTCCCGACCCTCAGATTGGGAACCACTGCGTCCTTGTCTTATGACCGGAGGGGCCGGTCGAGCATGGAATTTGTGTATGGAGTCTGTGTAAATGTGAATGTCTGCATAGTAGCAGGGTGGCATTTCTATGTCTTTGTGACTGCGTACAACCTGAGCAGGAGTCACTGAGCGTGTGAAGTTTGTCAGTATATCAGTCAGTCTGTGGCAACCAAAGAAAAAATCCTGCTGTGGTTGAAAAAAGAAAAGAAAAAAGGGTCCGTCTCTCCTGACAGACCTGCATTAAAGGCTTACGACAGGGATGTGATGCAGGTTCTATTTTCTGTCCTCACCTACTAGTTGGCCTTTGAAATTGAGGGGCGCTTTACACTCCCACACACCATATGCATACATAAGCAGACACATACGCATATGTGCAGTTAGGTCAATGCTGAGAAAATGGCTTTTTACTGGATAAAAAACAATCTCTCTGTCCACACAGGAGTATTTTTCCATTGGATCGACCACCTCGGAACCATAATGACCATAAACTTGGTTCTTTTACAAGGCCATTTTCATAATGTGGATAACAGCACGTTCTCCTCCACCTTAATAAAACACAATAAAATAGTTGCCCTGCTGAGGGGCTCTGACGCGGTTAATAAGATGTTTACCTCAAGCAGCACGCCCTGCGATGCGACCAGCCTCCCGACCGCGCTCACATTCCAAAACCCAGGGTAATTACTAGCTGGTTTGATTAATTATGTCCCCACAATATGCTGCACTCCAACGCCACAAGTGCTAATTAGCAGAACGAACACGATGGGTATGAACAGTTATTAGGGGGTTCAAGCTCGGGCTCGGAATTGGGCAAAGATGTGTACAGAAGACGTGCGGATCAGGCTCGGATCAGACTTGTATCACGCGGACAAAGACCGAGATCGCGGCTAACACTGGCGTACAGAAGCCTGCTGAGGTCACCGGTACAGCAAGTGCACACTGCTCTGCGTTCAGGGTGCCCGGCTGTGCACCTGACAACACACACGCACACCGTGTCTTCAAATCCATCCGCCTTATTAACCGTTCCTGCTCGCAGTGCGTTCTGCCTGCAACTCATCTTATCTCTGCAGCTTCGAGCTAGAGGCGGACTCAGATCACATCAACCTATAAACACTATGACCTTGACAACACAGGGAGGATATAGGACTGACCCTGGGATGAGGAAGAAGGGGGCACATTCCAGACGGGGGGGGGTCAATTAGTAGAGTTTCCCTGACATCTGAGGTTAGCTCGTGCAGAATACCGCTTAAAAAGATCTTGTGAGGAAAAATGAATTGATTTCAAAGCTTCTTTCTCCCACCGACCATACTACGTATAACACTAATTGTAAGTACGACATACTAATACTGTGTTGTTTTTTACCCTCAAACATGATTTTCATTTCCTAATTTGTACACAGGTATAAAAAGTGCACGTGAATACGTGATGACTTTGCACAGTGACCCATCAGGGTTAATAGCTTCTTAAAAAGGTGGCACGCGGATATTCACAACCCCTCCAACGACTGCCTTGATTATGTAAATGCCCAACACATCTGGAATATGAACACCTCTGTATTGGCCAACGCTTCGACGAGACATGATTTGTGCTTCTCTTAATCACCGGGGAGGTTATTAAAGAACCAACGTGAATGCAAAATCCCATTAAGACGAGGGGGCTGCCGTTACAATGAAGTCATTTCAGAAATGAGATGAAATCCAGTAGCAGCATCGGGGATCCAGGCTCCCCAGAGATCCGTGTTATTATCCGTGATAATAACAGCCCTTTATTTAGGATCATTGGAGTCGTTTTTTGTTTTTTTACATCAAATAAAACAACTAGAGAGTTGTAATGAATTACTGCAGTGAACTCTTGCAGCCTTGTTTTGTTTCTTTGGGATTCATTAATACGTGGAGCACTTAGTAGCATGTGAAAGGAGGAAATGCTCGTCTCTTTCCTGAGCTACTGTAGCTAAGATATATATTGAATGCAAAAAAAACACACGACCAAGACAACCAGAAGACAGAACAGAGCATTCTTTGTCTGGACTACAATAAGAGGACACAGCCCTGCGGTGCGTCTCTGTTTAATGGGAACGTAACGTGTAAGTCGGGTGTTTCAAGATAACTCATATAAACGGTAATTGCCTAGAGCTCTTAACAAACACTTAATTATCTTCAGAATTAAATATGATTTTGTTGTGCTGCCTGCTTGAGGACTTTAAAAGGAAGTGGTGTCATATGATGAGCACACTGCCTTCGAGTTCTGCTCACTATCTTCATCAGTAGGCCGCTTATGTCAGCAAAGACGATATATTAATTAAGGCTCTACTTCAGTATATTTTAAGATTGAAGTCATTCTGATGTTCTAACTACAATCCTGCACTAGCAAACTGTATGACAGCTGAACAAGAGGCAACATTAGTTCATATTCTTGGATGTGACCATAGCCTACTAATGTGCAACCCACAGCCCATCTGAGCAGTGGGAGAAGTGGATCATCTGCCAAAACATCTCAACGCCTGCTGCGGATTTTCCCCAAAGCTTAGAGAATTGACGTAAGGCTCATTTAGGAGCCACATAACGCACAATTATCTACAAACATCAATAGAATTACAGTTAATCATTTAGGTCCATGAAGGCATCGCGCATACAGTGACCCCGCTACAGCGTTTGAACGCTAACGCGCGGACGTCTGTCTTTCTAAAGATGCCACCTATTCAGCCCTACCTGTCAGAGGGATACCGAGAACCGTTGCAGGTGTCGGCGGCAAGTTCCTCCGGTTCTGAGGCGGCAGGTTCGGACTCCACCTGAAATCACTACAGCTGCGCACTGAACTGTTGAGCGTCCTGCTCAGCCGGCGCTGCTACCGATGACACCAGCTGCACGGGCTCATAAACACCAACTTCTCCTGCTCGCGGGGTGACCGCGCTCTCGACGTGCGAGCCTCCCGACGGTACGATTAAGTTACGAGGCTGACAAAGCGCGAGCGCAACGCACGCGTCAGGACGCGTCCAAACAAACAGGCTAATGAGGCGGAGTGTCCCGCTGCCCCCTCGCGTCTGTCCTCCAAAATATCCCCAAATCTGTCGCTCGACGATACGTCGGGCTCTCCTGTATTATCCAGCATGCACCTCTCGCATTCAGAGCGCCGTGGACCGCATCGTCATCACCCCCCCTCCTCCTCCTCCGCTGCTCCGAAAGCCACCTGGAGTTGCAGAAACATGCTGCGCCCGTCAAATAGGCTAAAGACGGGCAGCATCGTGAGAGTAATTCGGTGGTGAATTAATGTGCCCCATGTTGCACTTACGGCGAGTTCAGGTTACAGTTCATCTCTGAACAGTAGCCCACAACAAACGGTATTCTATTGCTCCTTTGTGATTCACCTGTGTTTCCAATCTCAACATCTGAGCAGCGTGAGTGACACAAAGGTGCGCTGCTGCACGAGACGATAGCGACAAGGCTGCCAGAAGCACTTTACCGACACATGTTCCTGGTTTTACAATCGCAGCCTGATGTCTGGGGACAATCGAGCGGTTCGTTGTATTTGTATGAACGGGGCTCCACTGATGCCTTTTAGACAATGAGCGAGATGTGGAAATCTCTGTAACTCTGAATGCAGAAATGAAATCTACGATCTCACAGCAGACACATCGGTCCGTCCGTGTGCACCACAATGAACACAGCATCTAAACAGACAGCAGACAATCACACGCTGCGCTGCGACTTCTCCCCGACGGAGAGCTCGCCCTTACCGGGTGGCGAACTGACGTCGTCCCCTCGCTGGTAGTTTTCCTTTTCACACCACGGCCGGGCATTTGCGAATCAATTGCAGCGTGCAAGCGCAGGCCTCCCCGTCTGGATATGAATGATGAGAGTGCGTGTTAAATTGTCCATTTTCCATATCCACAACAGTCTACACACGACCCGCCCCCGGGCGCCGGTGATTGGTGCAGAGGCTCCTCGACGTCTTCGTCGCACCGTAAAGAAAAACACACATCTGGATGCGACCGCCGCACAACTGGAGCGCTTTGGGAGACACCGAATTACGCACAGGACTTGAACCAACATGGAGGGGCGTGCCATTTATCATCGTGGCTGCAGATAGCAATCTCGTCACCTTTGTGGAAACTATGGTTTCAAATGCATCGGTGTAAACACTGGGCCACCATGATGATGAAGATGGTGATGATTGTGTATGACGGACACTAATGTGGGAGGTTGTTTGTTGTTTCAGCAGCTGAATTAAGAGAAGAATAGTCGGCTATAGGCCAATAATGACACAATGTAGCGTAACGCTTTATCATCAAAATAAATTGCAATAATGGGCTTCTATATTTCTGCAACAACTCCACATATTAAGGACATGCATGAGGAGGCCCAAAGACGCAATTCAACGGGAGACTGTTTTGAGATGCACCACTTGCAGCAGTATTTTGGTAAAAGCTTAGACTTTATATATTGCGTTAGTGTAGCGAGTGTGTTCTAAAATGGTATGTGTGACTGCCTGATATCAGTGCACGTGCACGTTTAATGGGGTACAACATGGTGATATCACGGGGAAGCAGAGCTGAGCATCACTGAGCGCCTCACTTCCACCGTGAAACCAGCATTTCTGAGACTCTTGCGCCGCTCTGTGTCCGGATAAAGGCATCGCCTCTGCTTTCTGTCCCGCTGCGTGATTTCACATTGTCTGTTACTTTGGAGGAGCATCTAATCTCTGGATTTGTTTCCTGGCTCCAGCGAGACGAATCACTGAGCAGCAGAGCAGATATCCCTGAGGATTGGTGACAGCTGTCACAGTCGGAATGCGGGTTTCTGCATGCTTTTACATAAAAAAAAAAAAAAAAAAGGGAAATGATAATAAAAGCGCACCAAGAATCAAAATGCCATAACTGTTAAACAATAAAAAATGTTGAATAAATAAATCGTATTTAACCATGACAATCGAAATTCGGGTTTTCTTTTTTAATAACTCTACAGTGGTCAAGAACGGTGCTCCAGACACAAATAGTTTTGAAGTCCAGTTAAATGTGGACATGCCCAAGTGGATGAATCACTAGATTCAAATTATGCAGGATTTTGAAACGCAAGGACCCCTTCACGAACCATTGCTAGATCCCTCAGAGAACAACAGAGCAGATACATGGAAGCATATACTCAGCAGTGGGGAACACCATTTTCTTAAATGTGATTAGTGTGCTCATAACGTACAATAACCGTTAGGCCCAGGGGCACGCATTTACAAGGGAGCTAATATTGTTCAGTCCGATGCTGGCATCTCCCATACTTCCCATGAACCAGAATGCAGCATCAGGCTCCTCCCGAACCAGAAGTGAAACCGGGAGATATTTGTGTTTTTAATCCCCGGGCTTCGCCTGTCAGGCAATGCTTTCCTGAAAGTTCAACTACTTGTACTTTCGCCGCGGTTGTCAAACCACAGCAGCAGTGAGACGCACAGGTCACCTGACACACCTTACCCAGGTCAATAAATAGCCACAGAGGTACGCGTGTATCCAGTGGAACGGTCGCATGATCAACGCTGTCGTGGTGTGTCGCTGAACAAATATTAGCTGTCTTCTTTGGGCAAAGGTAACGTTCCGCTCTTGGTTAGAACCGGCAAACATGCGGGATGCAGGTTCTCTTTTTAAAGTACTTTGGCCGCTTTTAAGCCGGGCTGCTGTTGGGTAAGCGTGCACGAGCTTGACATTGTTACAAACTGAGTCGATTCTGCTCATAATCTGACATTTGATTCCATTCTTCAGAGCATAGCAGTGAACTCCTTCATTTAGTTTACATTAGAAAATACTTCCGTTATTCAAGCCGTGTAGGAAATTCCTCCTTACGTCAGAGTTTGATAACTCACGTGACGCTGGAGCAGTTATTCCCGTTAAATGATTATGCAGTATTTGCACATTGTAGGGCTCAGATTAGCTACTCTATTATCGGTACATGACCTTTAACCTCTGTCTGCTCTGATTCTTCTGTAATTATGCACCAGAAGAGTCTTGGACCAATGTAACAACCCTGTTTACCCCCCCCCCCCATCATGCATTCACCATGCAGTCACGTGCACAGTCTCCAGGCACACACATGAATGCTGTTATCTCCATTGTTTACCGTCTCTCCTCTCCATGTCCTCCTCCTGTAGTTGGGGTCAGACAAACATAAGCAGCATGCTGGCACCGCAGTCGGATCGGGTCATGGCGCTTGGTGAATGGGAGGAACGCTGGCAGGAGGACAGAATAGGTTTCCATCAGCCTCACGTACACAAGTAAAGGCCCCACTATTACCCGTTTTACAAAAGTCTTCCAAACGCATGCGTGGGTTTTACAAGATTGGACTATCAACTCGGCTAATTCAGTCTACACATCGCCATCTCGCTCAGATATTGTATGTTTTTCATAAGGTTGACAAGTTTAAAAGTAACCCTAACTATTAAAAACACACCCAAAGTTTGTCTGGTGTTTTTGTTTTGACAGGATGCTGGAGAACAACATCGATAAAGTTCTTTCTGGACGGACGGGAGTTCGCTTCTTCTTCCCTCTCTGTGGGAAAGCTCTAGATATGAAGTGGTATGAAAACACATACTATATCCAATAAGGAAGATGACATTTAGTGTTCACATTGTCGGTGATCACTTCTGCTATTAAAAATGTATACGATCATAATTCCTTCTACTGTGGGAATCCCAGGATAGCAGACATGGGCCATTCAGTGGTGGGAGTGGAGATATCTGAAAAGGGTATCAAACAGTTCTTTGAGGACAACAACATGACGTACAGCGAGGAGCCCGTCCCTGCCATACCTGGAGCAAAAGTTTTCAAGGTACGACCTCTCACACCGCTCTGCAAAGGTGAGGATACTAGTCTATGTTATGACTAGTGCTGGCCAACGATTAAAATATTTAATCGCAATTAATCGCATGGATTTTTTGCGATTAATCGCATTGTTATGGCAAAGTTCAATAATGAAGTCAAAAGTAGTGTATTGCGCACTTTTATTTTAAAAGTACTGCTATATGAACAAAAGTGCAATAACATTTGGTTCACGAGATGCAGGTAGCATGTTTTATACTTAATGTGAATATAATTCATACTTTGTTGGCATCTTATTCTGAAAACCGGATGTTCGTCTGAAGAAACCGGATGTTGTCTCACGTTAATCTTTCCGCTAACTTTCAAAGTCCTTCACTCGCTCCCGATCTGTGCCGTTTAAATGCGTTTACCGTGAATTTCAGCATATAGGTGCACTAAAATGTAAGTGTCTGCTGAGTTGACCATGGAGATCTGAGTGTCTGCTGACTTTACCGCAGCGATGTCCAGTAGTCTCCAGGGAGAGCAACAGCTGGTGCAGCTTCTCTCTTTATTTCTGCCCCTCGACCAGAAGCGGAAGTCGCCTTTTCTCTACGGCAACCCTGAAGGGACATATCATCTCCAATACAAAACGATAAACATGACAGTCTGTTACAATAATAATAAATTTAAAAAAAGTTTATTTATTTATTTTTTTTTAATTATTATTATTATTATTATTATTATTATTATTTATTTTTTTTTTTTCCATCTCAAAAGGCTCAAGGACACACACACACAACTGACTATAGGATGTTAGCTGGCTTTTATCCCACTGTTCTTGTCATCCTCTTGTTATGTCTATGTATTGTCTCTTGTCTTTCAATTATAAAAAATGCGTTAACGCGCGATAAAATGATTGTCGGCGTTAATTAATTCATGCGTTAACGCGTTAACTTGCCCAGCACTAGTTATGACATATTGTATTAATGGTAAGTATGCCAAAAGTCCAATTAGTTGGGACCCATATGTGGAAGAGTAGCTGAAAGACATGATGCATTCACACGGATAAGGACACACATGTTAATCCATGTTGTATTCTTTACAGAGCTCGGAGAGAAATATCTCCCTGTATCAATGTGACCTGTTCAACTTCTCCAGGTCAGTAGACTGAATGTGTTTTTATCCCTTTGTTAAAGATGTTGAATAGGCCTTTTTCACAGCTGCCATTTTGACATGTCATAGCAGGGAGAACACAGGTGAGATTAATAATTATATTCCCATTTTATTGAGTGTGTCAGTCATTCTAGTGAGCCAGCATGCTCAATACAAGGACCCTGGCCCACCTAAATGAAACTGAGCCATAACTAATGGAATCTATTACACCTGTGGTTACCCTGCTGCAGTGACAGTGACGGGTAAATGTTGTACACAAACTATTTTTCCATTTCACAGTTCCATTGAGGGTCAGTTCGGGGCAATTTGGGACAGAGGCTCTCTCGTGGCCATCAACCCAAGAGACAGAGAAAAGTAAGACGAGTTTGAGTAACCCTCCATTGAGATGGGGAGATTTTTCTTCAGACGCAACAAAGCAGATTAGTTGTAGTTTAAAAAATATGACACCAAATCAATCTAAAATTAAAACCTATGAAATTAACATCAGGCACAGTTTGGTAACATTTTGGACGTGCACATTCTCCACAGGTATGCTGCTCTCATCATTTCTCTCATGGCCAAAGACTGCAGATACCTTTTGGACACTTTGTTGTACAATCCTGAATCATATGGCGGTAACTGTCCATACTTTTCTCTAGAACACAAAAGAATACAATTCATTTATGTTGCAGTTTAATATGTCAAATGTGGGGTTGCTGTGTTTTGTATCAGTTTGTTGAAAAGTAAGATATTTGTGACTGTATTTGCCTTTCAGGTCCTCCCTTTTTAGTGCCCGACGAGCAAGTAGCAAGTCTGTTTGGTGAGTGTTGCTACGAACGATCATGGCTGAGTGTGTTTGTGCCACAATAAAACTATAAGTCAACCACAAACAGAGAGTGAACAGCACTATGGTACTGTAGAAAGTTGCACGTGGATGCAGGTTAGACTACGGAGGCTGACATTAAGTTGCATTTCCTTTCCTCAGGGAACAGCTGTGATTTGGAGCAGCTGCAGTCGCTGGATGCCCTGGATGCCCTGACTGCCCTGACAGACAGACAGCGACGCTGGGGACTGGACTACCTGACTGAAACTGTACACCTAATCACTCCCAAGAGCACTTAAAGCAAGTTTAGGGAGAAAAACAGATCTTGGGCATTTAATTGCAAACAATGGGCCTTTACTGCTTAAACATCTTTTTGGGGAGGAAATAAAATGACAAGAGAACTTCTAAAAACAGTTTTAAATGCATGCCTTTGTATAAGATCTGTAACGAAGTTTGGAATGCTTGGCACTTTTTATATAATAAAATGCCTGCAAAACAAAGACTTGAGAAAACAGAATTTACAACAAAGAAACAAATGTAAGATATGAAATTCAGTCATCAAAGCAAAATGCTCAAGAGTTGATCTCAGAATTAGTTTTTCACATGAAGGCTACTGTATACAGTTTTTATGGCCTTCCAAATCTGACTCAGTTTCAGGGTATTAATGATTAGATTTTTGTCTTGGGAATATGCTGGTATGGATATGGTGTACTTTATACATTATTAACCTGCTTTTGATTTTTTTATAAAGATATCAGTCTTTGAAATCATCCTTAATCTAAAAGACATATGCACTTCTTTGAACAGTCATCAGACTCAAACATTTCATTGTAGGTGCATTCCCAAAAAAGATCAATTAAGTTTCACTTTCCACAAAAAGCAAAAGTATCAAAGTTGTATTTAGACAAATATATGAATAAAAAGCAAAAGGTAATAAGCTTTTACATATTTTTTTCATGAGTGAGACTGCACCTGCATTCCTTTCTTCAGTATCAGTTATTGCAATACATTTATGCCATTTTTCAAATGTTTTCATGTGTACTTTATTCTTTATTTACTCAACATTTTTGATTTCATACAGCAGTAGAGGCCACAGGGCGCTATTGATTTCAAATGTCAGGCACAGTGGAATGAAGGAAGAGGATTTAAACGTGACTTGTTTTCGGATGCATAAATTCAGAAGTCATCTTCAGCTCGCTCAATCTTCCTGACGCTCCCAAAATACATGCACACACACACTTTAATAGGGATACACTATTATGTTGTCTGGCATCCAATGATAATTCACAGAATGAGCAACACCACGGAGGAAATTAGCAGACCTTTAACAGGGGGACCACTCTGGATCTTGCATATTGATTTGCACATTAATTCCAACATACAGTTGAGTAGAATAGTTTCCCCAAATGATCTCAGCATAAGTATTAGCCTCCTCCTGCTGAGTGTGTTTACATGCAATGTGTTTATCATAGCCGTCATTCTTGTTTATTCCCAGACTACTAAGTCAAAAGAGTATTTTGTAATGTTAGATCTAAAGTGCACATGCCTCAGTAGTCTTGCTCTCTCTCGTCCATTTGAAAATGAAATCTGGCACGTTCAAT